TGATGTGTAGAAAGTTACCGAAGTGCTGTTATCCTCTGCCGTGATTGGCAGGGAAGCCATTTGCTGGAGGAAATCCCGCCCCCCATCTGCCAATTGGAGCCCAGAGTTCTTTCCAGGGAACTTTTTGGGGTCCTTTTCAGGGTAGGGCAAAGAAATTCAAGTTCGGATCTGTGATAGAATTATTCAGCAATCCACGATCATTTAGAATACGTGTATTCTCGTCTGACATAGACGACTAATAATAGGACATACACTTTTCAGAAAACTGAAGGAAAAGAGATCAAACTGTCGAAAGGAACACACACCAGTGAAGTTCATCCTGGGTGAGGATGTGCCTTTCCTCAGATCTCTGCCCAAAAAGAAATTCTGCCGGAGGGAAGATAAAGCTTGTGGCTTTGCATGTCATTGAATGAAGCATTTGACAGCTGCCAGGAAGCAGAGAACGGAAGTCACCCTGCAGACTAGATTGCTTCCCAAGGTAGGATAATGGCTCTTGTGGGAGCGGAGAGCACACTTAAGACTATTTAAAAATAGATGCTACTTTATTCTTCTCAGCTCGTATTGAAACATCTGGTAAAGATTTGCCTAGAGAGACTCCTCCTGGACCTTTACCAGTGAGATCTGTAATGATCACATTACGTTGCAAAAACTACCGTATAGTCGTTTTTTTAAACTTTGGGTTTGTTTTTTTAGGCAAACAAACGGGCTCTTTGTAATCTCTTTTACATTATCGATTTACTTAGCAAATCCTTTCTTCTTTAAATACTAGCAAGCTAAAGTCCATTTCACTGACCCAAACTGTCCAATTAATAGAGGTGGAGCAGATTTTACTGACTGCCACTTTGTTGCAAATTAAAACCAAATCTTACTGGGTTAGGAAAAAAAAAGTTTGCATTTTTTTTTTTTTTTTTTGCTGAAAATAATCTGCTCCCTTCTTTTTTTTTTTTTTTTTTAAGATGTAGATTACGTTACAGGAAGCTATGTGGAAAAAATACGATTAGAAGGGAAAATGTCAAAGGTTGGCTATTCCGGTTGATTCGAGCGCTTGAAAGATAACTCTGGTTTCACCGTGATGGTCACAGAGTCATTAATAACAAGCACAATGAGTAATAATTAATATCGCATTTTAGTTGTCCGGTAGAACGGTGGACGTGTCGCCTGCTATTTCAAACGCTGGCTGAAATCCAGGAAGACACTTGCCCTCGTTCCTCTTCACGAATGCGGCCACTGACTTACCTTCTTACTCAGAATTAAAAGGATATCGTTCTCGAGGTTCCCCCAAACCCTTGAAGAATGTCCAGGCCAGGAAGAACCCTTTCTTGTCCCGTGACTGCTGAACGCGAACATCATGGCTCGATCCATGCCCCTCCCTAAAACTCAGAACAGCACTCTCAGACCCCACGTCTGAGGAAGGCCTCACTTTTAGGTGGGGTAGCAAATACCCACCAGGCTCTGCCGAGCTGGCACACTGTGTCCTCGCCGGCACCTGTGCGGTCAAGTTCACGCTCTAACCGATGGCTCAGAGGAGCCGAGAGAAACTGTGTCGATCCTGGTAACTTCACGAGTTGTACTTCTGCGCGCACGCTGTGGTTTCTAAGGCTGATGAAAGAGAAGTGACAGCTTTTTTTTTTTTTCCCCCCACGAAAAATCTGTAATTAGGGCAATTTAAACGCTGTTAAGAACAAAAGGCACAAGAAATTCTACTCGTCAACCACGGATATTCACTACTTATCTTTTTTTTTTCTACATATGTAATGCAAAGATATGAAACTTCCTAGTACACAAAATCAAAAATTAATGAACGTGGATTTTTACAAAAAAAAACCACTGTAGATTACTTTAACGATGATTGGAGGTCAACTAAGTGCCAGCAGACATTTTGGAAAGAGACACTAAGGCGTAAAAGGGTTATTTGAACGCGATGGTTCCTTCTGCATTACGAAAAAACTCCCGTGATTTCAACACTTTTTTGCTTTCACGGCTCTGTCTGAATCTTATGGAAAAAACCCATTTGAGCCTTTGAATTTTTTTAAACATAGGCTTAATTTAAATTTTTTTCCTTCTAAAATGACCCTTCTCTTTAAAGAGAAAAGGCATAGCTGTCTTCAAAGTCATTCTTTCCTCCTACTTCATTCAGACACTGTCCTAACTGCTGCTGGAAACATGGTTTCCATGTGAGACACAACGTGAATCAGGAAGACCACATTTATGAAAACCACTCCACATTACCCGTTGCAAAACTTTTAAAAGTTGGGATGATTAAGGCTTAATCACTTACTGTAAATAAATTTAATGTAGTAACAGCGTAGCATAACTTTAAAGAATATCTTCCGGGAGGATGTGCATTTCACAGCAATTACACCCGAGAAATGAATATATCCAGACGCAATTGTGGTTTGTTTCAAACAATACAGCTCTTCTGTGTGAAAACTTTGTGCTCTGGGCCTATCCACTTTTCAAGCAAGGAGGGATTTAAAAAGTGACCTTGCAGGGAAGAAGTCAGGAAGAAATCTGGTCACTCGATCCAAACCTCAGAGGCGGTTCTGTCGTAGTGACAAACCCTCCCCGCTACCAGCTACAAGTACATAGCACTCTCTTAAGTGTGACTTAATTCTTATCTGCTCTTCAATTCTCTAGGACAATGGATGGAATTTCCTTGTGGAACAGAACTTGAAATAGTGCTATTTTGCTGCCCAGTATTGAGGAATTAAAAAAAAAAAAAAGCTTTCTCATCCCAGGTAACAAATTCTTTGGAAAACCCCTGTATGAAAAATATTAATAGTCAATCTGAAGTCCGAAGTCTCGACAAAATCAGTGCGAAAAGGTTCCTGCCACATTCGACGGTCGGGTGATTCCTTCCTAAATTTCTATTTTCACGACACTGAGCTCACGTGGAAGTATTTCAGGCTGGACCGTCCGCAGAGAAGTTCGATCCTCCTGTTGCTTTCAAGTTCGATTTGTGTCCGTGCCAGGAAAAAAACAAAAAGTGCATTTGGGTCACTCAGTTTTCACGAGCCAGCTTCATGGTTACAGATTTCAGAAGAGAACCATCACCTGGTGTTGGGATCGCGAAGCCCGTTTTCAAGTGTCCCCTCTCCCCGCCTCCCCAGATTTATCGAGCAGGATTCAGTGTAATGGGAATTGACCTGGGGTCTGGAACTTCAATGTGAGAACAACTAGCTTGGTGGCAGAACGGGGAAGCTGAGACCTGCAGGCTTTAGTTTCCTCTGTGATGCTCAAGCCCAAAGTTATTTCCATCTCAAAAGGAACTAACAGAGGACCACGCAGCCGCCCGGGCTGGTCCTGCTTCCTGGGCTGTAAGGAGCTTGTTTTGGGTACTGCGCTTGAGTGGGGAGTTCAACAACCTTACTTCTCCAGAGACCTTAACTGCCTAATCAGTGTTTTAATTGCTTAAAACCCGGCCATGGGAAAACCAGCGAAGTGAAGTGAACGGGGGATGTCGGTGGGAGGATGCAATTACTGTTTTCAGATCTCTCTTAGGATGCCCCGGGGCAGAAGGATCAGAGATGTTGGCTTTCACTTGCAGAGCAGGACAAGGACCACAATGGTAGGACAGGACCACAGCTTGGGTTCAGCCCAGGGAGTCCCGTAGCAAATCCCTCGTCACCGAGGTGGTCCAGCGAACGCTGCAAAGGTGGGCTGGAGTCGGCGGACCACGAGACCCTGCCGAAAAGTCTCGAAAGCTTTTCTCGGGCCCTGAAAAGTATGCAGATCTAATTTGGGAAACTTTTCTTAGAAAATAACAAAGATAACGTTTGGAAAGAATGTTTTATTTAGAAATATTCCCACCAGTCTTCTTCAGAGGACAGAACTGGAGGCAGACTGGGGCGGGGGT